AGACACAGACAAAAAAAGATTGCAGAAGGATAAGCCGGTCCTAGTTCACTTTATGGATTGGGTATCAAAATCTCAAAACAGATAAGCCATGTCTATATTTTCCTCCTTATATGCAGAAAAAAAAAAGGTTACAGAATTTAAATCTCATAATAACGGTGCAAGTTGTTACTCATGCTTGTTACGAAAGTAACGCGTGAAATGCTGCATTGCATTCACCTCTATCAGATAAGAATAATGTTTATCCTTAACATTCATTCACTCATTCAATCAGATTCGCCATGTTTTATTTCACACTGGGATTGGCAAGTAACAGAAGGATTTGGGGTTTTTTTTCCCACTATTTTGCCCCTGATTAAAATAAATATTACTAGTATACCCCTATTTTTATACTATTTAAAAATTTCAATCTTTTACTAAAATATAACACCAATTTATCCATGTTTAATCGTTGACGGGATGATTTAATCGATTACTTGAATCATGTAATCGATTATTTTGTGGGTGGATGAAATAATCGACTACAAGGCTCTTGTAATCAATTATTTCGAAGCCAAAAACGCTATATCAATGGGTTTCAGCCTCATTTTTCATATACTCATTTTCTATACGAAAATCTCAGTCATTTCTCATCTTTATTCCAACTCATTAAGATTGCATTTCATCCCATATCTATAAACCTTTAACCTAGCTTATGAAATTATTGTCATTACACTTACGTATTCCAAGTTTTTTTCAAAAATTGAACCCAAACCAAACCCTAATCCCATTTTTGCCTGAAAGATGAGCTCAAGTTCAAATACTTATGTTGCAATTATCTACCACAATGGGAGGCAATTTGAAGGTCAATGGTTCCAACTTTGAAGGACAAACAAAAATGATGCAAATCAAACGCGGCATAACATACAATGAACTTAAGAGGAGAATTCATAAAAAATGTGGGTTCAAAGACAACCAATGCATTCATCCTTGATAGCCAGGTACGAGACTAGAGATGGGTATTACATTGGGAACGATATCAATGATGATGAAGATATAAATTGTGTCATAGAGGCATTTGTTAACCGAAAAGAATAAAATTTTATTGAGATATATGTTGAAGTTAATTATGGTCAGCCTTCATCTTTGCCCATGCATACGAACACTTTACGGTATTTTGGTCAAGAAGATAGAGTTGACGGTTTATCTGCATCTTCACAGATGTTAAGTCAGATAACATTAAGGGAAAAAGAAGAAGATAAAGAGGAGGATATGGACATTGATGAGGAAGGAGAACCCGAAAGTGTTATTCCATTAGGTGATTCATTAAATACTGACATGGAGGGTGATTTTGATGCTAATATGAACCCAGTAAATCTAAGTTTCCCGACATAGTCACCACTTCATGTTGACCCAGTTAATAGTGGTAAGTTAGTAAATTCCAATTTTTGTTTAACGTATCATATTTATCTTATTAATGCTTCTGACGAAAATTTCATGGTTTAGGTGTAGTGCCAGAGATTGAGCTATTTTGGAATGAAAGCCATCATTATTCTTACATTAATTGGGCACGCCCTAATGAAGAGATGTTGTATGGTGATGATGAGTTGTACGATGGTTAGCAATTTGAGGATCCATTATATGTGCAACAGGAATTTGATTCCAAGTCTGAAATGCAACATGCTGTGAAATTATTTTGTATGAAGGGTCATTATACAACCATAGTTGCAAAAAGCGATGAGCACAGATTTATGATGAAATGTTGAAATCATACTAAAGGTAGTCCCTAGTATGTGAGGGTAATCATACCTAAGAATGGAAATAAATGAGTGATCCGTAAGTAGGGTAAAGATTACACCTACTTGAAGCAGCAAGGTCTTTCTCAGGATCATAGACAACTGAATTTTAGAGTTTATATGTTCAGCCATTATAAGTATATTTTGTATGGTGTGCAGTTATATAGGTTTGTTTATGTTATTTATTTAGTGAAAAATGTTGATGTAAGTATTAATAACCTTATTTGTATTTGATAGGGATATTAAAGGAAGATCTTTCACTTCAACCAATTCTGATCCAAGAGAGGATACAACATTTGTATGGCTACAGAATATCATATAGGAAGGCTTGGAAGGCAAAAAAGAAGGACATTGTGAAGATATTTGGCGACTGGGACAAATCCTATGCATTCTTGCACATTGGTTGACATATATGACACAATGTGTTGTGGGTTCTGCTTTCAAGCTTGATATAAAGAAATATTTTGTCCATCATCGGCTTGTCAACGATAAGGTTGTGTTTCATAGGATTTTTTGGACATTTCACAAGTGCATTGAGGCCTTCAGATTTTGTAAGCTGATAATTCAAGTTGATGTCACTCATTTGTATGAGAAATACAGAGGAACTCTTTTGATTGTGACATCACAAGATGGAGATGGATATATGCTGCCAATTGCCTTTGTTGTCGTTCCTCCCAGGTGAGAAGTTGGAAGATTGGTCATGGTTTCTTAACCTTCTTCGTTTTCATGTAACACAAAGGCGAGGTATTTGTCTAATATCTGATTGTCATCAGAGCATCATATTTGCGATCTCAAATGTCCATCTTGGTTGACAGCCTCCAGATGCCTATCATGTGTTTTGCATGAAGCAATTTTAATATTAGGTTCAAGAATGTGAAATTGAAGAAAGATTTGATGAAATTAGGTATAAAATTTCATTTATATAAACTCTTTGTGATTTTTGATTCAAAGTTTGAAATATGCTAATGCTTTGAAACTCTTTGTATTGTAGGGTACGAGTTCAAAGATTCATTTTGACACGGAATTTCAGGAATTTCAGGACACTAGCACAGAGGTTGTTGCATGGAATGATCAAATTTTGAAAGAGTAATGGTGTATGGCTTATGATGAGGAGGGTCAAAGGTTTGCTCACACGACGACTAACCTATCCAAGTATGTGAACAAGGCCCTCAAAGTGCACATAGTCTACCGATAACAGCATTGATGAAGTGTACATAAACTAGACTTGTTGAATATTTTGTCAAAAAACGTGATGAGATACAGGATCATATGGCAGAAGGAAAGAGAATTTCAAAGAAGGTTGTCAAAGCCATACAAAAGAATGAGCAATTGGCAGCAACATATTGTGTTGTGTTTTCCACTACACTCACTCCTTGTATTTGAGATCTCGCATTGCTCCAGTAGACGTTTTTCAAACTTGGCATTCCAGCCTCTAACCATCTTAATACACTTAGTCTCCACAGAACACCAAAATGTTGCATATCCTCTAAATGAAGAAGACATATGGAGATGCACCCTTAGCCTTAGCCTTAGTTTGATGCATACAAATGCATATATAGTGCCTCTAGTTGACCTGTATGTTGTGACAGATGGCCTACATTGCAACAAAGTCACCCTCCAGCACCCTTCCATGATTGAAAGCTCGTGGAAACAATGTGGGTCATGATGTAGAATAAAATGCGAGCATCGATGTTAAGCAACCCCACACTATAAATAGCATGAAACCCATGCACAATATCATGCCTTCTGGTCTCGTCCACAATATCCCCCCGTACATATACATCAATGGAGGCATTGCTTTCTATGTCATAAAAGGCTGCAGACTGAGCATTAAAATCGTACCCTAATAACTCCATCTATATAAGAGTCGTCATCATTATGTCTGCGCCGCAAATGTGAGACCTCAGATCACCCTATGAATAGTTGGGGTTATAATAGAAGGCCCTCACCATAACCTCTGAATAGGGACTCAACATCTCTGCAAGCACTCTCATATGTGACTGCTCCAACAATGCTGTTAAATCCCTCCGTAAAAAAAATGCTGAATCTAATGACTTCGGTTCACAACTGGCTTTGCTAACAAAATTAGACATAAATCTTGCTTTCTCCATTAGATCATCTTCGAGCAAATATCCAAATGGCAAGTCTACAGGGTCAGGCTCAACGGTCCTTGAAGAAGAAGAACCATCGTGGCGATGCTTGGGCCGTCTGTCAGTTGCGGATCTCTTTGAAAGCTATTTTCTAGCCATAATAACAACACAAACCTACAAAAATACATGAAAGTTCATCAACGACACAAAGCAAAAACTTAATTAATAAAAAACTCAAAAATCAGTCTTGAAAATCAGCAAAAAATATATATTACAAAACCTGTACAATCACAAACCTTGAACCATATACAACCATCTAAACCTAAACTAAACAACTATTAAACTGAAAAATCAAAGCAAAAAATAAAGCCAATCAAACCAAAGTTGTTTATTTTGGTCTAGGGTTCATAAATCCAAAAAAGAAAAATGAAAAAAATCAAGCGAACCCAAAATACATATCGATTACTTGGAGAAAGGAGGGAATGATGTTGGGAAAAGAACCCACCACAAGATTTGAGGAAATTTTCTAGCAAAAATCAATAATTTGGGAGTTTGAGTTTAAGGGAGCAGTTGATTATCTCGTTTCTTTTAACCCTCTTCAACCGAAACGAGGGTTTTAAAAAAATCAATATGGTGTAAGTTAATCGATTATATGGATGAAGTAATCGATTAACTAAATCCTCGACACTTAATCGATTACTTCGCTCATATAATTGATTATTTGAACGAGTCAACGGTCAAATATGGATACATTAGTGTATAGTTTTAGGATAAGGGTAAAGTTGTAATTTTTAATTTAATCAGGGCAAAAAGTCAAGCACCCAAGGATTTGACATAACAGTTTTAAGAAAAATAATGGAAATCTAAATACAATTGAAAAAAGTCATATATTAAAAATTTCCCGACATCACACGAGAATCATCGCGACAGTACGTGGGGGAATGAGATTGAGCTTCAGCTTCACCACTTGTTGTATAGACATGGGAAGCTTCTTAAGCTTGAAGCTTTCTCATTGGCCTGGACGCCAAGTCTTTTCATTCTCTAATCTTCTATAAAAGGGACTAAACCACAACACCATTAAGCAATCACAAAGAGAATTTTTCACTACTTTTCAATTTTTATTAAGAGTCAATATAGGATGGCTGCCATTTCACTTAGGCATAACCCACAAGTAAACACTACTAATCAGCAAAGGGACTTCATCACTGAAGAAGTTGAAGGACTCATAAGAGTTCACAGAGATGGACGTGTTGAAAGGCCAAAAATTGTGCCTAATGTCTCATGCACAGTGGCATCAGAACGTGGTGTCACTGCCAGAGATGTTATAATCAATAAAGAGACCAATTCATGGGCACGTATTTATGTTCCCTCAAGCTGTCACGGTAAGCTTCCTTTGCTTATTTACTTCCACGGTGGTGGATTCTGTGTTGGCTCTTCTGCTTGGAGCTGTTACCATGATTTCTTGACCAATCTTGCTTCCAAAGCAAATTGTGTCCTTGTCTCTGTAGACTACCAGTTAGCCCCAGAGAAACGTCTTCCTGCTGCATATGATGATGGTTTCAACGCTCTCATGTGGGTGAAACGAGAAGCTCTAAATGGTTCCAGTGTTCAAAAATGGTGGCTGAGTCATTGCAACTTATCTTGCATGTTTCTAGCTGGTGACAGTGCAGGGGCCAACGTAGCTTACAATGTGGCCACACGCCTAGGATCAACCATTCTAAATCCATTATCTCTCAAGGGTGTAATCTTGATCCAACCTTTCTTTGGAGGAGAGGAAAGAACTAGCTCTGAGAAGCATTCCCATCAGCCACCAAATTCAGCACTCACTTTATCAGTTTCTGACACTTATTGGCGCTTAGCACTTCCTCTTGGGGCTACCCGTGATCATCCATATTGCAACCCTCTTGCACATGGCACGGCCAAGTTGAGAGATTTGTGGCTTCCTTCTCTTATGGTATGCGTTTCTGAAATGGATATACTCAGAGACAGAAACTTGGAGTTGTCAAACACTTTGGCAAAAGCAGGGAAAAGGGTCCAAACAGTTATCTACAAAGGCGTAGGTCATGCATTCCAAGTGCTTCATAATTATCAACTTTCCCATTCTCGGACCCAAGAAATGATTTCTAATATCAGGAACTTCCTGAACCAGTAACTCTTGCATGCGCATGCTGCGCTACTTATCTGATGTATTTGTTTTTTGTTCTGAATGTTTACAATTTCATAGTGCTAGAACATGATAACTTGTTAGGATGATGGTTATGGTACCTATAGTTTCAATCCATTATCTGTACAAAGATTTTCAAGTGTTTAGAATATTTGTAAAACTCAAATCTGGGGTTGCTAGGCATTTATGTAACTGGTGCAGTTTGTTTCTGGTGATCGTAACATTAGTTTTTGTAACAGAAAATTAGCTTTATCTAAAAATACTAGTCTTTTCTGTTTCTGTTAAACAGTAATACTTTATTCCTTCCACTCTTCTCCCCTCCTTTTGTATCCAAATGATTAATAAATAAAATATCTATTGATCATATTAAGTATGAGTTGGTGTTGTCATTTCGTTTTGTACCATATATATATATATATATATATATATATATATTCTATTATACCCTACAGTTAACTTCAGAATAGTCTCGGTCTAGGCGGGATCCATGTGAAAGTTTCAAAGTAATGGGATAAAAATACTGAGAAATTGCAAACTGAAATGAAAGGGAATCAGCTAGAACGCATATATTAAGAAAAGGGATGGTCCGTGTTGCTGAGTATCTTTATTCTTTCTTTAGAAATTGTCCTTAACCAACAATATATTCTAGTGTGAGTAGGGTAAGTGGCCTCTTCTGAACTGGGATTCTTCATGGAATATGAGTCAGAGGACTTCTTTAAAAGGAATGATGCTTTGGAAGAAGGTTGTGATTGTGCCATAGGATAGGACCACTATGGGAGCAATATAGACATCTTAGCTATTGCCACCTTGGATTAATTTCACCAATAATGACATCATAGCCAGGTACTATTTAATTCAATAAAAAGTTAATACAAGTATTAGTTGTTGGATTAGAGTATTCTGGAATCCACCAATATTCACATCGAGAAATTACGTATGTAACGGGTATACCTCATCAATTTTGCTGATGTAGTGTACCTTAATGGATTCATTAGGATTCTAACACTATGTTCCTAAGTTTTACATAGATTCTGGTGAAAATGAGGTGAAAGAAGAGTGAGAATGAGAAACAAAGGTGCAAAAGATGAAGAGAAAAAATGTCAATTACTGTTATTGTTAATGTGTATATTTTTTCACCAAAAAAAAAAAAATGTGTATTCTTTAAAAAGCTTTGGATGTTTACTAGCGTAACTTGGCTTGATTTGTTACATAAGATAAATTATATATTAAAACAATGTAAAATCTTATCACTACCCGTGAAGATTTTCTAATATTAGTCAATAATAACTACTACTACATTAATATATGGACTGCATTTTAATTCAGCTCACCGTCAAAATACTTTTGTAATTCTTCTAAAATTTGTCACCTTTTTGAAGGTAGAGTTTTGAAAGTGATTTGAATTTGAATAGTACGTTTTGAATAACTATAAGTTAGAGATTTTTTTTGATACAAGAAAATAAATAAAAAGTTAGAGATTATAATGTGATAAGAAATTTTATAATATTTATTAAAAGAATGAGATAGCACATCACTTAGCCATAAGGACTCTAATAGTATGTCAATAACTAACTCTTTCAAAAAGTTACACCCCTTAAATAATTTTATATAGATTATATTTATAACATATATCCATTTTAACTTTGGGATTTATTATTCTTATGTTGCATAAAATATAATCTATCTCCTACACACACAAATTCAAGATGAGTCTCACTTTACTTTTTCTCTCTCTTCCCCTAAAAATGGACCTCACATATACCAATGAGTGTGTAGAAAATAACTTTTATGTTTTACTACATAAGAAAATTATTACCTTTGACTTTTCTATTTAGCTCAATTTTCTGTACTTGGTGGTTACATTTGGTGGCGTTGACTGGTGCATGAATTATCTTTCCTTATAATCATAGCATAGTCCCTTAGTTTTGCAAATTTACTTGCCAAGTTTCCTTGTTTAATTTTTGCACCTTTCCTCTTTGACCGGTAAGCTTCATATGATGGGAATTAACCTTCACCTGTCTTCTAATATATTCCTTCTTTGCTTTTACCTTCCAATTTTTTTAAGTCAGATAACTCCTCAAAATATTTGTTTGCGATGTAACTTGGTGTGACTACCGAGTTCTCAAATTATTTAGGATATGTATGGTTAGGTTCAATTGTCTGTTTTTGGATTTAGTTTTTCCTTGCATACAAGATGCTTAAGTTCTCCAAGAGCAGCCCCATGTATAAACATCTATTATAGTTTTCATTTCTAACCCTGTTGATACCACACCATCTTGACATTTCATTTAACATAGTAAGATACTCGTGACATCATAAATACTAAGACATCATCTGACCTTGCGGGCACTAGGTAATATATTTCAGATTTCATTGGGTATCCAATGTCCACAACGTTATCAACGATTAATTAGTGTAGTTAGGCTCATTAGGTCAAAAGTCCCACCACAATATGTCTCTGGACTAGTTTCGCTAAAATACTCCGATGGATTTACTAAAAAAAAATAAAAAAAATACTCAGATAGTGGTGCAGCTCTGTAATGAACAATGTAATTACAACCGTAGGGGTTATTCATCTGATCGAGGTACTAGATCACTGGTTTAATCGGTGAGTCATTGGTTGAACCGCATGAATCGAATATATATATATAAATTTATATTTTATACTTAATTATATAATAAATATTTTAAATGGTGCAATCTAAACAATAACTTGATGTAATTTAATAGTATTTGCTATGCTGTATATCCTCAATGCAAGGGGTTTGAATCCCACCCGCTGCGAAAAATATTTTGTAACTAATTTTAAAAATTCGATTTAAAGAGAAAACCGATACTACTTGAACCACGGTTTATCACCGGGTCGAATATGTTTTTTTTGGTTGCTGAGAATTGGTTTAAAGAGAAAACCGATACTAGTTGAATCGCGGTTTATCACCGGGTCAGATATTTTTTTTATCACGGGGTCAAATATTTTTTTTTTGGTTGCTAAGAATTTTTGAATTAAATCATGTTCATATTTTGTGATAAATAAGCTATTTTGGATTAATGCAATTTGTTTATGTAATTTAGTTGCATTTTATAATGATCTCAAGAAGTTAAATGAGGAAAACACTGATGGTCTCGTCTTAATTGTGAACGCTTTCTTCTTAGTGTATATTTCATGCCTACCATTTATTATCATGATTTAGTTTATTTGCATTATGTCAAGGCACAAAAGATATATTTAACTTATATTGTAATTTTAATCGAATGTTAGGACATGATCTAGAGCTAGAAGCCTAAAAATATATAATATTTATTATTGAACCAATTATTGTTTTAAAGCTCATTGATAATTTTTTTACGTGAATTTTTAATCTAAATAATATGTTTATATTTTTTCAATATATAAATAATAAATCCGATTAAACCAATTGAACGAATGATTCTGATCGAATCGATAATCAGATCGAGTTTTTTTTTTTTTTTTTTTATAACAAACCAGATCGAGTTTTAAAACATTACTTCATATATCTTTCAAAAAAAACATTACTTCATATATTTCTGTATGCTTTTCCCACATTTCTCAGTGTGTAAGAGATAAAAAAAATTATTTGAGAAATCATAATCCCTTTATTTATCTTTGAAATTTATTTTATCTCACTTCTTGCCGTAATTGCGAGGGTTATGTCTCGCAAAACAAATTTACATGAGAGATAGTTTGTGATTTACACAGCATTTGAACGGATCCGGGCAAGTCCCTCTTCTTGTATTAGCATCTGCGCGATAGGTAGTACAGTGCAACGAAGTGAAGCTGGATTTACATGGCGAAAAATTACAACATGGCGGCGCCGCTGTCGCGGTTCGGCGTGCTGGTGGCACAACTGGAATCCATAGTGGCCTCTACAGTTCATAAATCTCCGGAGCCACTCCTCTGCTTCGATCTCCTCTCCGATCTCGTCTCCGCCATCGACGAGGACACCAAGGTCATTCATTCCCATAGCTTCACACTGTTCGTTTGTTTGTGATTTGATTTGGAATTCCGCTGATCCGATGTGTTCCTTACTTTATTTGGATTCATTCACGGTTGCATTTTCGTGAATCTCTCTTTGTAGTGGATTAAGTCTGAGATTGAGATTAATCTACATTTGTTTGCATCAGTTACGATAAACCGTTTTTGTTTGTTCTTCTGATGCTAGCTTTCTGTGATTAGCCAAACTATTGTTTCAAATTCAATATATGCAGAACAGAACACTCACAAGACTTGAGATAGTAATCTAAGACTAAGACAAAGCTCTTGTTGCTTGTTATTAATTGGCTCTCATTTTTAATCTGAAGTTTCATAATTAGCGGGAGGTTCAATGGTATTCATTTGATTTTACAGTTTATAAAGGTTTTGGCATTTTGTATTCTAACTAGAAACTCTTAGAGCATTGATTCTTGACATCTGATGTTAAAATATATAATTTCCAGGAAAATGTTTTGCTGTGGCAAAGGAGATGTGAGGATGCGCTATATTCCCTGCTTGTTATTGGTGCACGACGGCCCGTGCGTCACTTGGGATCAGTAGCGATGGCGAAGGTCATATCTAAGGGAGATGCGATATCGATTTACTCTAGAGCTAGCAGCCTTCAGGGATTTCTTTCTGATGGGAAGAGGAGTGAACCTCAGAGAATTGCTGGTTTGTTAAAATTAAAGATTTCTTGAACTTATAGATGGACATTGAATTATTGCAATGTCTCTGATTGACTCTTTGGATCGATGCAAAGATTCTTTTATGAAGGCTAATGAATTTTTTTTTTCTATTATAATATATTTCCTCTCCCTGCTTCCAAGTGAACTTATTATCACACTATAAACTTGTGTAGTTACATTGTGTCCTTAAATTGCATGAGAGAAAGAAAGAATTTTATTTTTATTTTTATGCATGTATGTATGAGATTGGTTACTTTAGCACCAGAGCATGTAGCACCTGGTGATTGTCACCTACGTAGATTGGCTTGGACTCTTAGATTTTTTATACTGAGTAGTGAATGCATGTCGGTGGAACTTTAAGCTTACTATTCATTGAGTCAGCCTAGGCATATGACAATTTGAACACGGCACATCTGACATGTTGCCAAGGTTCTTCTGTGTAGACTTCTAGACTTTTTTGTTTTTGCCTTGGGGCGTTCTTTGTTTGATTTGCAGAGGCATTAGAAGACCCTTTGAGCTAGCACATGTTTCTATTTTGGTTTTCTTTCAGACGATTCTTTATTCTCCATTGTTGTACTCTTTTTTCCCAAAAAATTGTTCTTTTACCATCAAGAGAAAATACACTGGATATGTTAGATTTATTGCTTCAAACTTTCAGATGCTTAGGAACTGGTTCATCCATTTAAAGAGTGGTGTTTTTTGGCTGAAGAGGAACAGTAAAAGCTTAGTGACATTATGTGTTATGCAATGTTTATATCTTTTGTTTTTCGCTTAGTGATTGAGTTGCCTAATTATTTTCATCTTATTTTAAAAAAAAATTAGTATGATATGCCACAAAAACAACTTTTATTAGAGAGGATAGAGGGAAAGTCCAACTAAGGGAGGGTAAGATGTCCTCCAAAACATAGAAACTGAAAGACAACAAACCAAAATAAAGTATCAATAATGCATTTCTTAGTTAGCAACTCCTTTGAAGAAGCCATGAGTGCAACACCAAAGAGAAGCCATAAACATAATTCTATTGTATTAACATGTTTAGGGGAAAAGAGTTGCCCTTAAGGATGCAAGTGGAACACACAAATCAAAGGACTGTATAAATTGTACACTGCCAAAAAATTTATTGTGCCATTTTTTTTACTACAACCAGGGTTATCAATTACCCGCGATGGTAGCGGGTAGCGGATGGTGGCCGTGACTGGATCACCAAAAGCTTGTGGAATATGGTGAATGCTTTAAAACGAGCCATAATCAACTGAGGATTAGGGGGAAAGCTTTAAAACAAGCCATAATTAACTTTTGGAAATAAAAGAGAAAAAAGTAATTTGGTGAAGATAAGACATTTCCAAAATAGATAAAAGAAAGAACAAGGTGTAAGAAAGAAGTAAGAATGCTCACACTTACTCATCTTTTCCCATAACTTTCACTTGGACTTAGGACCTCTTTTGTAATAAATAAAAAGAAAAAAAGAAAAAATATGAAATGTAGCAAGGAGTCCAGTTTGTCAGCATAGCAAAAATAGAAACACCTTATTTTTATTCTGGATATATGCTGGATCTTCTCTAATCTGGATAGTAGCTTGGGAGGACTACTCTATATATTTATTCTCTGTAGACAAAAGAAACATATTATTGGGGGAGTGGAAGAAACACAAGTAAAAATGATAACAAGTGTCTTCCTTGGAGCAAACAATAATTAAAACCAAGGCAAAGTGGCCTATGCATGATGATCTCAACATTGTTGGTACTGGAGAGGGTCATATGTTCGCAGCCTTACCCTCATAAGCGGATAGGACTGAGATGTTATTTTCCGGACTAAAACCTCTGTCCACTAGGTCACAAAGCCACACAACCTTGCAATTGCTCCAGTTTAAAAAGAGGAGCTTTTTGATATTTCTGCATGTCTAATTCTCTGAAATAAACCAAATCAAGTGCCTCTAAAGAAGCCTTTGAAACAGTCCTATCAGAAAGCAAGTTTGAAGGTAAGGAATTTATGGACTGGATCAAATCTCTTAAAAAAATAACTAGCTATCTCTTTTACTCTGCAAGTTTTCTTTTGATTTCTTTTGGCATGACATGACTCTTGCACACCATAGTTATGTTAAATTTCGTGTTGCATGTTTTTTCTAGAGCATATTGTCTTTCTCATTGTTGCTTTCATTTGGTAATTTAGATTCTGCCACTTTTCTTTTATTTTTTCTGAAAATGATTTTATAGGTGCTGCACAATGTTTGGGAGAATTGTACAAGTACTTTGGTAGAAGAATCACTTCAGGTTTATTTGAGACAACAATCATAGCAACAAAACTTATGAAATTCAATGAGGTATTTCCTTTCAGTTTGCATGCTTATATGTTTAAATTGCTAAGCCACAAGAAGTGAAGGACCAAATGGAAAAGACAAAAATTTCCTCCCTTGGTTGGTGCTGTTGGTTTATGCATAACATTAACCTCTTTTCCAAGGATTATAAATTTATAACTCCAAGTTTTTTTTATTCTGTTTTCAGTTCTCTGTTTAAGTTTAAAGATTTGTTATTTGATTTTTTTTTAATTACATATTGAGATGTCTGTAAACTAACTGTTGAGTGAAAAGATAGACTTTTTAATTGGACAATAATATTCATTATAATTTTTGGCACCGGGTTGCTGAGAATGTTTGTTTTACATCACTTGAGGTTTTTATCAAGCCAACTAAAATTAAGGTTACCTGTATATGATCATGAACAAGGAGCATTGACTATGATTAAGAAAATGGAAGGAGGAAAAAAATTAAAAAAGGAAAAAAACTCTATTAGCATCTTGCTTAGATGTGGCATAGAGGTATGGAACAGAGGTTGATTACATCATAGAAAGTGCAAGAGAGAGAGTGGTAATTGCATATGTTATGTGGTATGTGCTTTTGGAAAGAACAATAAAAGGTGTAGATAATTCAGTTGCTAATGCTTGATAGTATTTTAAGCATGCTAGGACTTAAGTGTACTTTTTAGTCTGACAGATTAGTCATTTCCATTTAGCAAAAATGGTCAAATTCATTAGAAGTGGAACTTGAGCCTTTCTTAGTTGAGTATTCTTTCTCTTCCTTCCTTATTTTCCCCCATTTTCTTGTTTCTTTTAGGAGGATATCTTATGCTTTTGTACTTATTTACTGTTCAATTGTGATGATTATTCTCTAAACCAGAAAAAAATTACCATTAGAGGAAAATCATAGCCAATTTAATACGAATAATTGTATTGGCCAACAAGAATGAAGTCTAATTGGCTTAACCTTTACTTCCCACTTTCCTAAATTTAAGGCAGCTCATTGTTCCAATTGTTTCTGGGAGGATCTGTAAATTGGCTACATACCTTTATTTGTTTCCTTGTCTCATTTCTGCATCATTTGTCAATTGTCATTTTAGAGACATCTATTTCATTATAGTTAAGCTATGCTTTCTTTTAATAAATTCGATATGTCCCTCAAACTTTAGGAGTTTGTAAGACAAGAGGCATTATATATGCTTCAGAATGCTTTGGAAGGCTCTGGTGGTAGTGCTGCTTCAACAGCATATTCAGAGGCATTCCGTCTCATAATTAAATCTGCTACTGGGGATAAGTCGTTTGCTGTGAGAATAGCTGCTTCAAGATGTTTGAAGGCATTTGCTAGTATTGGAGGTCCAGGCTTAGGTGTGGCAGAACTTGACAATTCAGCCTCTTATTGTGTTAAGGCAGGTATTTTTGTCTCAATTTCTTCTCCTCACTTATAAATATGCCAATTGTTTGGTGCAAATTCATAGTATTCTTTATATGTCTTTGTCACTGCTACTTGTGATAGGCCCTTGAAGATCCTGTTCCATCTGTTCGGGACGCCTTTGCTGAAACTTTAGGTTCCTTGCTTGCTCTTGGAATGAATCCTGAGGCACAGGTTTCTATATATTGGTTTTCTCTGGTTTTTCCTTGATTATTTCATCCTTCATAAATGTTTCTAAATCTTACTAGGTTCAACCAAGGGGAAAGGGTCATTTACCTCAAGCAAAAAAACTAGAAGGTGGATTGCATAAGCATTTGATTTTGGCCTTCACAAAAGGTATAATGCTTGCTTGGATCACTGGCGGGACTGCACCTTCTCCCCCCTCTCAAAAAAAAGAAAGAGAAGTAGCACCTACCCATACTAAACTGAACCCGCTCCTTTGTAAATATTAAAACCTGCACAGATACGAACAGCATTATCAATCAAAATCCTAAAAACCAACCATCATCTCATATAATTGAAAGACATGTGAATACTTTCACCACATCTGTCTTGAATTTAATCAAGTAGGTGTGTGTGTCCAATTGGGTACCTGCAGGATAGGCACAAATTGCCAAGGCTATACCATTTTGTCTGTTTTTTTGGTTATTATTATTCACGGAGGCTATGAGTTCTTATATTGCTTCCTATGTGAGTGTATTTAATGAAACGACACTTAAATGCTGGTGTTTCTATTAGATCATTGGAAATCAAATGATTGATTGTAAGTGAGTTTTGGGTTGGCAGGTGACTAAATCTAGATCTTTTCATTCAGATAGTGCAGAAAAAGGATTATGCTCAGCCAACGGGGCTTTGCTTTTTTTGATAGTCATGAGCTATGTTGCACTGACACTTCAAAAAACTTGAAGTGTCGTGTCCGACACTTCCCGACACTCTTGACAAGCTCCAACATCTATAATATTTGAAATTTCATTATATATCATAAAAAAATTGATCGATGTTGTACCAAACTGATAAATAAAAATTAAAAATGAATACCGAAAAATCTCACTGGAGTGTATAAGAGATTTTCAATTTGAAAATATAGTAGTAAATATTTACATCTTATATTTCGTTGCAAAATTGATGGGTATTATAAGTTTAGTTTCACTTTTTTGTTAAATTATTGAATATTTATTATAATATATATTACATAAATTAAAAATATTATTTAATATCAAAACGTGTCGAAATCTAACGTTTTTTAGAATTAACGTGTCATAGTGTCGTGTCCCGTGTCAGTTTCGATGCAACAGTGGTCATGAGTGCTTGTCTGCATGGATGGGGTGGAAGAATATTGCTTTTTATGTTTGTTTATATCACTACAAGCTTTTGTTCAATATGGAACGAAAATTTCTTTCAAGTGGGCATTAGATTGTTTCATTTTTATTTTTATACATTTTCTGAGTTGCAATTCACTTTGCTTTTTCTTTGCATTTGCTGATTAAATGTATGACCTGTTTACATCTATATGGAAAAAAAAATTTAGTTGGATTTTGATTGGGATTCATTACTATTAACAGAAAGTGATAAATCCAAAGGCGAAGATGGAGTTCGTGTCTTGTTCAGACACCATACTCTGAATTTTATTATGTAAAGAGAGCTTGTTTTACAAGCATTTACAGTTGTACAAAATAATAACACATAACTCTAAAGATACAAACCTGAAACAGTAAGAGTAATGGAACATCCCTATGTATCTAACAATTACAAGTTTACAATTGTCCTCATTTCCTTATTAGGACTTCCATTGATCCTGTCCATTCTTTGTGGGCACGTAATGACTTTTTTTACTTCCATTTCAGCAAGTGGAGTACGGTCTAGGGATGTTCGGGTTGGCCTAACACTATCTTGGGTATTCTTCTTACAGGTGAATTTTGACATTTCTTTGATGAGTGTTTACTTTACAGTTTGTGTAGAGGCATTCTTCTTATTGAGATTTGTAGATTGGATAGTATTGTTATTTCATTTTGTTAGAAGCCTGTAATGTTTTCTGTTTTATGAAGGGGAATAGTCATCCTTATAATTCGTTAATAAAAGACATTTCTTTTATTTTTTTATTTTTTTGGCCATTAATGAATTGATTTGCCAATAAAGAGACTTTGTTATTTGTCATTTTACTTTGTCTCTTTTTTATTTATTTATTTTTACATTTTGGTTTGTTGATGAATGCTAGCAACACACTCTTTAATTCTATTTTCAACATATTCTTAATTATTTGGTGAATGTCATATGGGTCACTAAATTGAGAGTGGGCCTAGGTTTTTTAAACCCTCGTGAAATTCACCTAATAATAGAGAGTATGTTGAAAAGAGTATATTGCTAGCATTCTTTTGTTACTTCATTATTTTATTTTTTGGAACACAGACTGCTGTTCATCCTTTTCTATACTTTAGTGTTGTAATATAAGACTGAAATGTATTTTTCATATATTGATTGACACCCAAAGGGTTCTTTATATACAGATTACAAGGTAGTTAAGGAGTTGAAGTAATAAAGAAAATACACAGTATCCGAAGAGGCATCACACTACTCAAAGAGAATAGTTGTAACACCTCAAATTCTAACAATTTATAATAGCATAAATAAATTCAATAATTTTATAAATAACAGCGGAAGTTCAAAATAATCAAATTTGGGAAGTGTTACCGCCGCACTTGTACAGGGACAAGTGCAAGGCTAACTCTATTACATTCAAATAAAAATCTAAGACTACAGTTTTTTTTTTATACATAATATTTATGACAGCTAGAAATATCCGAGTCGTGATCCTCACTGCCCACAGCTAGCCCCATCCTTTGCAACATGCTTCACTGAAAATTTGCTCCCCCGCAGCCTCAGGATCATTGCAGTCAAACAAACACAAAAGTCAGCAAAGCTGGTAATCCCAATCAAAATACGATTAATGTAATTAATAACAAATTAAATCAAATATCAAATAGTGTTCAAATCAATTCCACATTAATCAAATCAAATATGAATATAATAATCAAAATTCCATTATATAATATTTATCTTTATTAAGTTCATTTGATGTATTTGGTAATTATCAACTAACATATTTAGCACAACATTAGTCATAATATGATAATATTCACAACTCAATGACATTCTTCATAATCAAATCAAATAACAAATTTCATTATTAATAATGTTTAAGTTCATTATATTTAGTGGGAAGAGAACCATGGTAGACCCGGGAAACCCTGCCAGTCTACCCCGTGACCCAGGAAAAAACCACTGTTACCAGCCACGTATAATCAAAATTGGCAATAATCAATTCACATCTTCCTAGTGTGCACACCTCTTCCCAAAGTTGCTATTAGTACCCCGGGAAAAAAACCACTGTTACCAGATACCACTTTGGGAAGAACGGATATAATCTTTTTCACATCAGTTTCACATCGGAGGCATAAAGCCCAAAAGTTGTGTTCATCACCTTGGGAGGTACCGTCCCAAAGCTATCCTCCCACCATTAATTTATTACAAACACACACAATCAGGAAAGATTCAATCATAATTATTTATTCTTTAAGTATTATCATCTCTAAATGAGTTACTCAAGGGCATTATAATTTTCCAAAGTATCATAATTCAAACAACTATTATCATAAATTTTTGAATTTATATAACAATTCAAATCTTCAACATTCATCATAGTAAAATCCAAATCCGATCATCATCATAACTTTCCAATTTATTCAAGGATATAATAATTCAAATCTTCAACGTTCATCACAGTAAAATCCAAATCCGATCCTCTTCATAACTTTCAAATTTATTCAAGGATATAATAATTCAAATCTGCAACATTCATCATAGAAAAATTCAAATCCAATCATCGTCATTCAAATAATCCCATCACATCAATTATCATAGTTATAAATATTCAAATTCAATCATTAAAACACATATTTGGAAAGTTTTTCTTAAAGAGTATTATAATTCCATAATTTTCATAATTATTCAATAAGATCCATATATTGCACCTGAAAAATCTTATACCATACATTGCACATAATTATAATTTCTAAAATAATAACATTTTATATCATATATTGCACATAATCATAATTTCTAAAATAAAAGTTTATATCATATATTGCAAGCTTATTCAGAATTCAACCCACTAGGGCTAGCCTAGTGGTGGTGGGGTGTGTAGTGTTTAGTGGGTGTGTGTGTTGCAGATCGATTCCCATGTACTTCAAAAAAAGCTTATTCGGAATTCTCTTTCATTCTAAGGAATAACTTGTATCCATATTCTAATTATCATATGTAGTAATTTAAATTTTAAAAAGAACAAATACCTATATATATAGAAATGTTCATACCAAACTATTAAGAACATCTACGGATTACATATAAGGATCATGCCCAAATTTCATATAATACAGATAACCTACAAACATCTAGGGATTAGGATTACTATTAATAAACTTCAAACAAAATTATAACCTAAGGATTAGGATTACCTAGTCTCCGTTTTTGCTAACTTCTAGAAGAGAATAAATTGGGGCAGAGAACCGGTTGGTAACCAAAAGAATATAGAAAATAAAACAAATAAAGTTTTGAAGTAAGGAGAGAGAGTAGTAGAGGAGAAATGTTGAAGAGTGAATTAGTTTGTTTAGGCTAGGCCTCTATTTATAGTTGAAGTTTTGGGCTCGGATATGGGTTTCGTGCATTTATTTCCTTTTTCTTTATTGATTTATCTGACTCAGATATGGGCTTCATACACTATTTTATTATTAATTTCTTATGGCTCAGATTACAGCTAACTTATTTGCTAACTCAAGGCTGACTCATTATTGACTCATCATATCTAATCAAATTACCAATCAACATTACCAATCAATCATTACCAATCAAACATTATCAATCGAACATTATCAATTGAACATTATCAATCAATCATTATTAATCAAACATAAATGCTTAAATCATCAATCAATTAATAATCCAATTAATTACAATTTATCATCTAATATATATATATATATATATATATATATTTATATATATGTGTACATATTAATATTATGTTATTATAAATAATTTAGAGTATTACAAAGTATCAAAATTATTTTCCAATAGCATTCATATCGCACAAAATAATTTTATCAAAAATAAAATTAATATTCTACTTTGTTATCTATCACCATAATATTTATTTATATATATCTATATTATTATTACTACTAATTTATAGTTTATTATTATTATTATTTTATTAATAAAAATATGGGGTATGACATTCTGCCCTCCTTAAAAGATGTTTCGTCCTCGAAACTTAAAAGTTTGAGCTTCTCAATTAAACTAAAAGCATAAGGTTAAAGTTAATAAAAATATTTGATATTACACTAGTAGCTAGTAACAAGTAAAAGACTCTAGAATATTCTACACTCCCCCTCAAGTTGGGAGATATATATTGATCATCCCCAACTTGCTAATTAAATCCTCAAAGATGGGTTTGTGTAATCCTTTGGTGAGAATGTCTGCTGTTTGCTCCTTGGTAGGTATATATGACAAACATACACTACCCTCCTCCAATTTTTCTTTAATAAAGTGACAATCAACCTCCACATGTTTGGTTCTGTCATGATGTACAGGATTTTGAGCAATACTGACTGCAGCCTTATTATCACAATAGAGTCTGACAGGTAGAGAATAAGATATCTTTAACTCTTCAATGAGTCTTCTTAACCAGATTCCTTCACAAATGCCATGGGCTAGCACCTGAAATTCTGCTTCTGCACTGCTTCTGGCAACAACAGTTTGTTTCTTACTTCTCCAGGTCACAAGATTTCCCCAGACATAGGTATAATATCCTGAAGTGGATCTTCGGTCCATTGCAGAGCCAACCCAATTAGCATCTGTATAGATTTCTATCATCCTCTTGCGTCCCCTTTTAAAGAGCATTCCTCGACCAGAGGTGTTTTTGAGGTACTTGAAGATTCTATAAACCACACTAAGGTGTTTTTCCTTAGGAGAATGCATGAATTGGCTAACCATGCTAACTGCAAATGCAATATCAGACCGAGTGTGACATAAGTAGATCAACTTCCCTACCAACCTTTGGTACTGCTCCCTGTCAACATCTTTTCCATCTTCAATTCCCAATTTAATATTGGGTTCAACAGGAGTTTCTGCTGGCTTGCACCCTAGCATACCTGTTTCTTGTAGCAGGTCTAGGATATATTTCTTCTGAGATAAGGAAATTCCTGCCTTGCTACGAGCAACTTCCATTCCAAGGAAATATTTGAGTGATCCAAGATCCTTTAGTTCAAATTGATTAGCTAAACCCCCCTTTAAAGATTTTATTTCCTCCCAGTCATCACCTGTGACAATTATGTCATCAACATAAACAATGAGGATAGCAATTTTGCCACTATCGGAGTGTTTAAAAAATAAAGTGTGATCAGTCTGAGCTTGGACAAATCCTCTTCCTTTAACAGCACGAGTAAACTTTTCAAACCACTCTCTAGGGGATTGTTTAAGTCCATAAGGAAACTTCTTCAACTTGCATACTGAACCATCTCCCTCTTCAAAACCAGGTGGTGGATCCATGTAAACTTCCTCATGTAAGTCTCCATTTAAGAAGGCATTCTTTACGTCCAATTGATGCAAGGGCCAATCAAGGTTGGCAGGAAGTGATAGTAGGACTCAGATAGAGTTAAGTTTGGCAACGCGAGCAAACGTCTCCTGATAGTCTATCCCATAAGTCTGAGTAAATCCTTTGGCAACCAATCTGGCCTTATATTTGTTGATGCTGTTATCTGCATTAAATTTTATTGTGAACACCCATTTGCAACCTACAGTTTTCTTTCCTATGGGAAGTGCCACGGACTCCCAAGTTCCAATTTTTTTAAGTGCATCCATTTCTTCAAAGACTGCATCCTTCCATTTAGGGTCATTAAGTGCCTCTTGGATATTTTTTGGTATTTTTGTACCGTCTAATATAGTGTTGAAA